ACTCAATTTCTTTATATATTAACTTAAAATTACGATAAAAATCATAAATTTTAAATTTTAAATTAGCCCGAATAGAGTTTTTAAAAGCAAAGTACAATAACCATATTGTGTGAAATCATAGATTAAGTAAAAAAAAAAACTTATTGTCAATATTATTAAATGGCAGTATATGTGGGGAATTAGTTGATTTTGGTCTTTGCAATTATAACTTAAACTGTTTTTCTTCTCTTCATTAATTCTATATACATTGACAAATTATCTAGCTAAACCAAAAAAAATTTGGCAAATTTTATTTAGCGATGAATTAGTGATAAAATTTATATATAAAACTTGACTTTAATCCACCATTTATAAACCGACTATGTTGATATATGCAATACGTTAAAAAATCTTAAAGATGAATGCATTAATTTTAAATTCTGAATCCGAGTAAAATGAATGGTAAATTGCTATCTTGATAATTGAATTTTGCTTTGAAGAATAAAAAGAAAGAAAAGGAAGATTGTTGGTTGAGGTTTGCTTGTTGTATAGGTAAAGGTTCCTCTAAATCTAATTGTAAAGCAAAAGGAGGAAAAAAAAACAAAAGGGAAGGCTAAAATATAATTTTAATTCTCCATGGTGGAAAAATCACAACTTATAAATTAAACTTTTGCAAATAAAATTTATGATTATAATATTAAAGGCGGCAATTAACAAAAGATTAAAAGCTAAATTACTATACATTTGAAAAGAAAATGAAAACATAAACTTTTAAAGACCAACATGCACTTGCACCTCTTTAAGTATTTTTCTTTTTGGGTATAGGAAAGATTAAATATATATAAATTCTTAGGCAAAATGGTTTAAATATGTAGGCAGAATAAACTTCAATTTTCTTATGCTTTTTTTTTAGTCCTTCTAAAAAGAATATATATATATATATATTTAATAATTTTTAATATTAAATTCCACATAACATGTTTAAGATCATAAGATTAAATTATTGTTTAATATATTCTACATGATATCTTGCACGGTGACAATCTTCATTTATAATTTTAAGCAGATGATATAAATTGTTAGTTCTAGGTAAAATGTGAGGCACTCTTGATATTTACATGAAATTAATGAAAGCATAAAATGCGTGTATACTGTTTTTTTTCTTTTTACTTAAATCATATAGTCGATTAATGTATATTTTTATTTCATCTATTATTTTCCAACAGCTAAACTTGTTAGCAATTCTACTAGTTTTACTTATAATAATAATAATAATACTTTATCTAAAAATTAAAAGATGTTTGGTGGACCATTAAGTTATTATATGTTTCATTTACATAAACATCCAAAAAATAACTAATTGTCCACTTTTAAGTTTTATAGCTAGAAAACTCTTTAGTATGAAAAGTGTGAAAATGAAGGCACACAATTTTATTTTTTAAAGAAGTCCATGTGATGTCCAATAACTATATGGCCACTTATAACAAAATTCTACATAGTGGACTCCTTTATTGTTTTTCTTTGTATTTCTAAAACTCTAAATCAAGTACAATTAGTCCCTTTTTCTTGTTAAAGTTTTCAACAAGGAAGAAAAAAGGTTTTTGGATAACATAAAGAAATTGTGAAGTTTTTCTCAAAATAAAATTGACTAGTTCTCCACTTAGCAAGAATTAAGCCTATTTTTGGCTACACTTTTGAAAAGTTCAGTAAAATAAAAGTGGTTGTCCATGACATGTAGTGTTGGTTTTGAATTAATTAACAAGCTTAACTGATTCATCGAGTTTAAAAATATGCGTATCAGGTAAATCTGTGATATATCTTATAAAGTTCTCTCTGTTTCTTTTTCATTCCAATGTAAGAATCACCTTCTTCACAAGCTTATCAAACTAAAAATCTAATAGTATTTCTGATAGACTTGCTTTCGATTATAAGTGTTATATAAGACCCCGTCAGAGGCTTATTATCCTTGTTGATGTTTGTCTTACCATCGTATCGAGGGAGTGTCACAATTTGATGTATATTTGTCACTATCATGACATATTTTGCCTGTTTTGGCCCAACATGAGTCACAATTTTTTCCTTAGGTTACATCATCATCTAGCTCAAAAATGATTATACCATTTGAACTTATGACGTGCTTTATAAAACTCTTTATTTTTCTCTTCTATTTCGATATATGATTCATCTAAGTGTCAAAAATCAAAGACCAACTTATCTGATAGACAAAAGTACATTTATTTTCTCTCTATTGTGATGATAAGACAAACAAATTACATCGAGATGAATAGACTCCAAAAGATTGGAGAAAACAAGGGAAACTTACATAAATATACTATAATACATAAATATGTCATTTAACTTGGTTTCAAATTATATTTATGCCCTTCAACTTTGGATGTGCACAAATAGAGACTTAAGCTTGTATAAAGTTGAACAAATAAACACACATGTCCTATATGTCATTTTTTGTCCTACGTGGTATCCTACGTGTATTGTGCCATGTAGGACTCATGTGTTTATTTATTTAAAAGTTGGATAGTTTAAATGTCCGTTTGTTTCAAGTTGCAGGTCAAAGTTAAAATTTGAAGTCAAGTTTAGGGTCCAATATATGTATTATGTTGAAAAAAATATTTACCATATATAGCAATAATATTTTTTTCCACTTGATTAGTTTTAATTCATTTATAATATAAATAACAATTTATTATTCACATATAATACATGTTTTAATGATGAATAATATATTTATCACACATTTTAATACATTTGTAATACAAATATGTCAAAGTTTTACCAAACAAACATAATATATTTCAAAAAAACAATTATAATTCATATATATTGACACACAATTCACTTTTAATTCATGTAACAAATTTTACATAATATTGCTATAAATAGTAATAAATAAAAAATATCTCTGAAATCAGTAATTATTTATTAAAGGGCAACTTTCACATATAGCAAACAAAAAATTCATATCTGTATGCTATAACAAACTTTGCATAATTGCGCTCCATAGCAAACATAAAAACTGTATAATTCGCTATACATATACAAGTGTATAATTCGCTGGCCTAAATTGTATAATTCGTTGCCCTAAATTGTATAATTTGCTGGCCTATTTCGCTGCAATTGTATAATTAGCTTTGCATACAGTTGAATCGAATTAAAATGTATGTATATTGCATAATTATAAGTGTATAGCAAGAAGATATGTGTTTTTCTCGCTTTATACAAAACCAGAAACACAATATATACACTGCAATTGTATAATTCACAATTGTATAATTCTTTGGCCTTTTTCTATGCAATATTTG